ATATTTTTTTTCCATAGATTATTGGTATCAAAGAACATTGTTTGACTTCACTTGAAAGGATCAATTTTTTTTTTAATTTGAATTACCTCAATATGTTTATAATAAAAATTTGAATTAATAATAAATCAACGTTGATAACGTAAAATCTGGATACCAATGGAATCTTTATATCAAAAACAATACTTTACACGAAATTTAATATTATTTCTGTTTTCAGGAGTATCACAATTAAGTTAAGGAAAAATGAAAGACGTTTATTTGTAGTTAAATTTAAAATCTAAAATTTCTCCAAGAACTATTTTCACAGCAAATTAACTTCTACAATTTATTAAAAATATGCAGCAAAATAAATTTTGGTGACCTACAAATACTCGATGCAATCACTTTTAAAATATGTATTTACTTGAAAAAATAATATTTTCCGCCGAATCAAAAATTCATCAGTGATTACTTTTACACTGATTACTTTTTGTACAAAATATACATACATTACTGAAGTAAATTGGTGGAGAAAATAAAATATTTGTACAACTGTTATAAATTATTTTGCAACAAACTGATAATAACAATAGGAAAAACGATACATCGAATTTATTTATTTTTTTTAAGTTATAAAATTGTGACATTATTTCCATAGCGATAATTATATCTAAGAGTATGGAAAGAATAAATTCATTTTAAAAGTATTTCTTCCTCTAGTAGATTTTTTTGAAACAGTATGCCTTCTTTATTAGTTAATTTAAAATCATAAAGAGTAAATCCTCCAAACTTTCAATAAATAATGATTTGAGCTTACCGGAACGAATTAAATAAATCAAGGTAGAAAATAGCAACCTTCATTCTGAAAAGAAGAATCCCTGTCATATTTCTACCTAAAATCTAAAAATATATCCCTGAGCCATAATAAATAAAATAAATTATTATTTCGCTCCCTTAATATTTCATTGTATAAATACCAACACAACTTTTGCTATCTATATTTTGTTAAGGTCAGAAAAAAATAGTTGTAATCAATACACACTTCCTCACATCTAAAAATACACTTGTCACGTTATTAATTCGATGGTCTGTGAAAATATATAAAAGTATACAAAAGATGCTAAATCTGAATACATAATTTATGTGTAAATATGGATAACTCCGCAATTCAAGGCGTATTGAAAATTCGCTTCCAAAAAGAATTTCTCGAGAAATACATTCTTCTAGAAATTTTATATGTGAATACCTGCCCACAGTTTTCATGTTTATTCTATTGTAAGTATTGAAATTCAATGAAATCTAATCCAAACATTTCCTTGTAATATAACAATATATAAAATTAAAAGCTATATTATGGTGGCGTCACATAAGTGGAAAAGGCATCTAACATTTTTCCGAAAAACATATATCATAAATGAAATATACATAAAATTATAAATAATTTATTTCATGCACTAGTAAATATTTAATTTTACCCATTAATATCTAAAATCAAATTACCTATAAGGAAGTCATACGAGGTTTGATCAAAAAGTAAAGGGAATTTTCAAATTGCGTGTGTTGTATCTGGTCTATCGATTTGATTCTTTTTTGTGTATTGGTAGCACAAATTTTTAAGCGGCTGCCACGTTTAGTTTGTGTTTAGCGAGCTAATGAGTAAGATTTACCTCAGTGTTTTCAACGATTGAGTGAGTGTTATGTCGAATCAGATTATTTGTCTGGCGACATACTATGTCACAGCTACAAATTTATCAATGGTATAAATGTTTATCTGCTCCCACTATAGTAAATAGACATTGTTTTTAAGGAGGTAAGTAGATTTTACCGTAGAAGTGGAAGTTGATACGGACAACGGGAGGTAAGTGAGATAACTTAACTCCCTAGGGAAAAAAGCGATTTCGATTTATAAATGCATATTTTATGAACAAATAAATAGAAATATTTGATGAACATTACATTTTACTAACTATCATGAATCATTAGTTATAGTAATTGTACAGTTATTACATTTAGTAACATTTATAACATCTGGATAATTATTCCCCTCGCGTTTACCAATTGTCAGATTTTTCTCAAAATGATTTGATCTCTCCATTTCAGTCACCAGAGGCTCAATATTATCTGACTGATCCAATAAAACAGCATGATGCCATGTACTACTAGAACCAGGAGTTGAAGTGTCATTGTAAAGAATCCTGTTAGCTATTTCATTTTTGTTACTTAAACTGTCAGCAACATAACTTTCTGCAATTGTGACTGATTTCCACCCACCATATCTCTTGGTTGCTAATACATCAACTCCTGTATTAGCCAGTAACGTTGCCGGTGTTCTTCGGAATGAATGGCCTGTACATGTTTCAGGATGTTCTAGTTTCAAAAACTGTGCAATCTTATTAGGAATCATAGAAAGGGTATTCTTGTCGACTGGTTGGTTATAACATCTGCCTGCTTGATAGCCCATAAGAAAGCCTGAAATTTCAGTTTTAATTTCCAATCTAATCGTGATATATTTCTTGAGAACTTCTAGGCGAGAAACAGACCCTGACAAGAAGTAACTGTAAACGTACGTGACATACTATGTTTAGAATCTGGAATTGTAACTACAATAATGTCATCGAAATTTTATAAATTGGCATTGTCCAAAGTAAATTTACATAACTCATCAGAACAGCATGCTCCTGCAATGCCTAAGACCGTCACTACCCTTCATTAGCAAATATGCGCTATCGGATGCCTGAACGAGAAAATCGTTGACTTCTTCTGTTGTAGAAACATTTGACTTTCTATGTGTATAGCCGTTATTTTTACGTTTCAAAAATGCTCTCAACTTGGAATATTTTGATATATCCACTTTCTCCTCTATGAAAATAGTTGACATAATCTTTGAGTATTCACTCCACAAACTCGCCGGTGACTTTAAAGTTCTTGACTTCTCCATGAAATATGCTAGCAGTGGCATCTCAGAAACACCAGTACTTTTGTTCTGGCGCCATTCTTTGAAATTTCTATACGCTCGTCCGTAGCGCACTTTCGACTTCTCTGGCAATAAAAATTTGCAGGCAGCATTTGCTGCACTTTCTATTTAAACATCACTCATTTAGAAATAATAATTCATAACCAGCAAAATTGCAACTTTTATGTAGCTTTGTTTATAAACACCTTAAAACGACAAAATCCAAACAACCAAGGCGACTTTGCAAGATTTTGAATGTCAAAATGAATTGGGTAAGAAATGTCAAAAAATTAAACCTAATCTTTATTTCATGAACCATAAAGAACTGTGGGAGCAAATAAAATGTTATACACCACGCAGCAGTTAAGTATAATTTGCCAGTCTCGGACTCTAGTGCCAGCCCTCGCTCCGCTCGGGCGCAAAACCGTCCTCGACTGGTAAATAATACTTACATCCTTTATGATGTAAAAACTATTTTACGAAAGCCAAGAAGACGTCGAAGATGAGGCTGTGAAGGTCCTTAAATAAACACTTTCTTAAAAAATTAAAAATTCCCGTTGCTTTTTGATCAAACCTCGTATACTGTTTCCCCTCCCACATTAGCAACTAATATATGATTTTCAAATAAATAACCATAAAGGTATATACACAGAGTTTTGAAAAAAAGGTAAAAGTAGCCACACGTAGTTTCATCAAAATAGAAAAAAAAAATTTTAAATCCCATAGACATGAAATATGGTCGGATATTTTATGGGAAATTTAAAAAAAAAAAAATTTTCAACACTGTATGCTTGGTTAACTTCAATAACAGTTTTACGTCATAAATCACCAAAAGAGTTTATATAAAGATATGTCAAGAAACGATTCGTTTTTTAGACACAGTATGTTAAATTAAAAAAAGAAAATCGATTTTTTTTTATGAAAAAAATGGTTAAAGCCATTTTGGTCAATTTTAGTAAGTAGCTTTAATTTTTTATTGTTCATAACTATATATGGATGATATAGTTTTTTTACATACAAGAACGTACATCTAGGGACAGACTCCGTTCACTTTCTTTTTTTTTTTCAACTCAGATTCAAAACTTTTTCAAATTTGACAGAGTACTAAACACATGTATTCTTCCTGCATGTAGAATGCTCAGTTGTCGAAATAAATGATAAAATAGCAGACCTTGTCTAGGCAACTATTGTTGTGTCAAATCGTCAAATTTATCTTTGAATTGTAATTATTATTCAATTAAACACGTAATCTGTAAATAAAATATTATTTAAATGATTTCCCTCAAATGTTTTTTGTAACCAGAAATAAACCATGATTTCTTTAATTTTGAACACCCTGTACATCAAAAACGAAGCGCTCCCAGATATATGTTAAAAATTTTTTTGTTAATTGGTTACGTACAATCTATATAAAAGTTTCGTCAAGTAAAAGTAATTTAATTATGTTAAATTAATATTGATTAATTATCAATTTTAAAATGCCGCGATAGCGAGTTAACATCTGATATAATAGTTATCATAGTGACAACTTAAAATAATTTATTTTTCCCACTGTAAAATACTTATTTTTTCACTAATGTACTTTGTTTTGTAAGGGTAGAAGAAAAATATGTTTAAATCCGTTTAGTGTTCGTGTTTTATTCTGATACACAACGATTGACACGTGGAATAATAACGCTTTAACGATTTATTTCTATTAATTGTTAACGCTGTTATAATCATGTTTATGTATTCCAGCTGAAATTATAAAACATTTTCCCTTAAATTTCCATAATATTATATTTTTTAACTACGGTTACTTGCGTGTTCTTTTTTAAAAAATCATGTTATAAATACCTACATAAAGAAACACGCTGACAGGTTAATACTGAACAAATTTAATTTTTAACTAGCAAATGGATTGTATATTAAAAGAAAATATCCTTCAAATTCTTTTTAAACAATTTCTTAGAAGTTTATATTAAACCAAGTCATACAAACTTTTGCAAACTCGTAATTATATCGATAGATATGCAGAAACATGTCAAAATTAACCAATAAATGAGTGTAGTGTAAAAGTATAAATTACCATCATCTTCTCCCGGGCTGTAGCTAGTTCTGTGGGGACTGAAAAAGAGGTGCGTCCTGTAATGGTGCTCCTCCATAGCAGTGTATCCCTGTTCTCTCGTGCATCTTTTACTCGTGTGTCGACCGATGGAACTCTTCGAACCCTTGCCAGCTACCACACCCGATTTTTGATCCCTGAAGTTCTTTCTGAACATCAAATTCATGTTGGCTTCTTTTACTCAGCCCCTTGAAACAAACATGGTTAGGTGAATACAGTAAAATGTATCAACTAGCAGAGAACGTGATATTCACACATTTAATAAAACTTTATTCTTTAAAGAACCATGTGCAGTTTAAATTGAATTTTTTTACTATTCACAGTACTTCTAATTGTTGAGATATAAAAAATTGTTGAGATATAAAAATAATTTACGTTCATATATGATCAGTTACCGATAAGCCTAACATTGTCGTGATTTTTGGAACTTTTACTCGTATATTCTAGGACAAAAATTCAAGGGAATTACACATAAAGGTTTGCTTCAATTCTTCTACGAGCAGGTTTAAAGTAAATCTATGGAAATATTAGTTTCGATCAAATCTCAAAGGGAGACCACGTTTAGAGAAAATAATTATTAAGACTATTATAAATAATGTTTCTATACCTTTTCCAGATATATTTCAGAAATGGTCAGTTTAATACAGAAAACGGCATTTCAATTTCATCATGGTAAAGATAGATAAAACTGATTGCAGAAGGCCGTTATTTGCATTTCGAAAAAGTCAGTTCTATTTTAGAACATTTTAATTAAAATTCAGAATTTGTAAATTGTCACCCCATGACATTCGCGCTCCTATTATTGTCTATACAGGGTGTGGCGTGTATAATCTATAAAAATTAAACTACAGCTTCCTAACGATATTTGTAACAGAAAAGTCGTATACGAAAAAGTTCTATTTTTGCATTTTTTTTTTTCGTACATTAAAGCTCAATTATGGATAAAAATATTTTCTCTGGAACGGTCCTGTCCGTGTGCTGTACGATGAGTTACGTGCTGTAGACCGGCCGCGTAAACAAATCGTCGTTGTGAGATAGAAAGATACTTCTCAATTTTTGGGGAATTTTTCAATGCAAAAGTAAAAACTAAGAAAAATAGATATTTAAAAAAAAACTGATATTTTCTTATTATAATAATTAATAGTAATTACTATCTTAAATGCACTGTTACTGCAAGAGTTCGCAAACAAAACCACATCCGTAAGCATCTGTAGTTGCCAACTGTGTGCACTAAACAAACTCCATTAAAATATGGAATAAAATGAAATAAAACTTACCATTTCTAGAGAAAATGTTGAAATTGATCCCCATTAGCGCAGATACAGGCATGGCACCGACGCACCCAATTTTGGCGAATATTTTCCAAAATTCCAGGTATTCCCCTAATTGTGTCAGCAGCTTCAAGTAGACGGTTTCGCAATTCTTCCACAGTAGCAATTGGAGTACTGTAAACCAATGATTCCAAGTGACTCCAAAGATAAAAGTCCATTTGAGTTAGATCGGGTGACCGAGGTGGCCACGGCACAGGACCAAAGCGTCCAATCTATCGCTGAGGAAACATTTCATTCAAAAGCGTCGTTACTTCTCCCATCTTGAAGATAAAACATGCGTGCCCGAACTCATAATGCCACATCGCCAATAATTCAGGCAAGCGAAATAGGGACCCACAAGTACATCGCCTATTATGCCAACCCAAACATTTACCGAAAACCGATGTTGAAAATGAGTTTCCCTAATCGCGTGAGGATTTTCATCGGCCCATATGTGCATATTATGGAAATTCACTTCATCACGTAAATGTCGCCTCATATGTTACACAAACATAAGCAGGAAAGTCTACTCGATTGGCACCTTGCCGTAAAAACCATCTGCATTCGTTGATCATAATCCGGGGGTAAAATCTGTTGAACTGGTTGCAGATGATAGGGGTGCAACAGCTGGCGCCTTAAGATGCGATGTACTACTTGCTGTGCGAATCGTCGAATACTAATTGTGGGGTTTTCGTCAAAATTTTCCAACACTGCATCTTCAACATTAAGGTTCACTTGCTGACCACGTCCTTCTTCTCGAGGAATAATACTTCCCGTATCTCGCAGCCGTTGAACGCACTGTAGGATTATATTTGCGCATGGGGGGTGACGTTGTGGCTATCGTTCCCGGTATAACCTAGTACTATGCGAACGCATTTTCTCCGGCTGCACCATACACTAACACCATATCGACACGTTCGGAAATAGTAAATGCATTGTTTCCTCAGTTCATTATAAAACTAGTTTGTGCACAAACTAAAAAATTAAGCAAAGTAAAAAATAAGAATCTCGTATTTAATGTAATCGGCACGCTATTCTTATTTTTTACTTCTTTATGAAAATTACAGTCACTATCGTGGAATTACAAAATAAAAACTTTTGTCTGGAATCTTTCACTGTTTAACACTGATGGGTCGATGGACGATGCTTAATATTTAATAATTAAGTGAATAATGAATTCAATGATGATGATGTTATACCGACTTAAATTATAAGGTTGCATCTCGGTTCGCATAAAAACATTTCCAAAGTTTTTAATAAATAACACAGGATCGGCCTTAATTTTTAAATAATTTTTTAAATAAATGAACTTTAATTTACAAAAAAACGCGAAGATATAATTTTTTTGTATAAGACTTTTCTATTACAAATATCATCAGGAAGCTGTAGTTTAATTTTTATAGATTATACACGTCACACCCTAACAGTGTGACCCAGTAAGAACTGGACATCTACATTTTTTTGGGTCGCATGATTCGAATGAAATATTTAATATTGACTGTATTTTCAACTTCCTGCGTAATAAAAAATAATAGACGTACGTAGGGTGTTTGTATCCACGAAATAAAAAATAATAATTTTATGAGCCCATAGGCAAATTATAAGTTCCATTAAAAAAATATATTTATCTCGGAAATCATATTAGTGTGCAACTGACAAAAAGTTTTTCTACGTCTGTGGTAAATTTATACCGTAAATTCGTGTTTTAAAAGTTTTAAGATTTCGAATCTGTTTTGCATTAAGAAATCCGCCATTTTCGGTTATGATTCGGGACCCTAATATCAACATACAGGGTGTTCCAATTAATACTTCCCACCTGGAAAACATCGGAATTAAAAAAAAAACTGAGACACGTCGATTTTCTTTTCAAGGGAGACACGTGATGGCGTAAGTTTTGGTGTCTTGGAAGCTACCCCTTAGACAGGCGTGTAAAATATCCTTAAACTTTAAATGGCACCCTATGTTGAGTGACAAGTCATTTCAAAGCTTTTTCAATTCAGCTCACGATGACACGATTTTTTAAATTTTGGTTTGGATATGACAATAAAATCATCACTTAAGGAATAAGACAAAATATCAATGAATGAAAGAATGTTATTTTACTAAATGTTCAAATTAGTGTCTCTCCACTTCCATAGAATAATAAAATCTTTGCTCCATTTTCGAACGAACATTTCGAAGCATTTCGGGCGTTATCTGACGACATTCTTCAACACGACGAATCTCCTCAAGTTAGTACGGTCGTGTTGCATAAATTTTCGACTTTGTGTCCCCATAGAAAAAAGTCCATGAGCAATAGATCTGGCGATCTGGAAGGCCACTCGATTGAACCTCTGCGTGCCATCCAGTGATTTGGAAAGTTCTGATTAAGAAGATCACGCACATCTACGGTATAATGTGGTGGAGCACCATCCTGCTGATACCACACATCCTCAGGTACCCTCATTACGTACGACCCTTGTTGACGCTTTCTGGTTGCAACCGATCTAGTTTCTGAAAATTTATGCACTAAATCCAGGACGTACCGATGCGAAGAGTTTTTGTCAGGATGACGATCATTAAAAATCTGTGCTGCCTGCAGTGCAGTCATTATTATTGTAGAACAAACTAATTATTTCCACTTTTTTAGCAATTTTGCAAACGAATTGCAATTCAATCGACACCAAAACTTACGCCATCACGTGTCCCCCTTTAAAAGAAAATCAATGTGTCTCAGGTTTTGTTTCTTTTTTTAATTCCGATTTTTCCAGAAGTTTTAATTGGAACACCCTGTATATTGTTCATATAATACCCCCATTTTTTAAAAATATTTTTTGTTAGTGATCCCTTTCGTCAAATTAATAACTATTACCTAATTACGGAAAAAAGTGTTATGCAAAGGATTTAAAATTAAATAAAAACTCAATATTACCTAACTTAAACAAACTCACGACATTTTCCAGAACTCCGCGACTAAAAACTACTCGTATTCGATGTGTTGTATAATAGTTCATAGTCAAGCATGATGGATTTTTTTCTAATTGAACTGTCGACATGTTAAATGTGATAAAACAACATACATAGTTAATGGCGATAATATGGACACGTAACTGTGTATTAAGCGTTTCATAATCGATATACACGTAACAAATGATACTGGTATAAAAAACATTGTGAAACAATAAATTAATAAAAAGTATAAGAACGCGCGTGGATTTTTTAAAATACCTACTCTAAAAATCAAAGTAGGCTAAAACAATTTCATTAAAAATAACTTCTGACAGTCGTAACTGATCTTTGTATAGCAGGTTCAGGAGTTTGTTAGAAAAAAAGGAATATTTCTTTATTTCTAATGAATAAACTCTAAAGATTCCCATTTTTTAATAATTTTTACAGGCTTTGCGCTATTTCACATTACATTTTCTCATTTTCACCATTTTATGATTTTTCGATCATTTTATCATATAAGATGTACAAAATAAATGATGTATAGTTTGTTGAATTTAAAAGTGTTAGAACTATTTTTCTGGTAACAAATTGAAGACAAATCATCATCAATTCTATAATTTCGATAGATTTGGGAGCTGCCGAGTACACACTTCCGGCGAGTGTGAAAAGACAATAAATGGTATGTAGTTCCTAATTCTGCTTCAAATAAAGACGTCATCGTTAATCCGCTTTAATATTATTTGAAGAAATCAACGCAAATATGATAAACAAAAAAGTAATTATTATTCACGATGTTATTACTCGTCAAGATAAACAAAAAAAAGTAATCATTCTTTTTCTAAAACACACTTTAAATCAATCAAACTTGAAGTTACGAGGTGTTAAACGTTATGCAACTTGGTTTTTCTTACTAAAAAAGAGAATGTAATTTTCTTCCCCTTGTTGATTTAAAAATATTTCAGCAAATACAAAGATTTATCCATTTATATTGAATATACAAGGTGTAAGTAAAATGCTTGCCCAAATTTAAATGTCGCGAAATGTTTCGTTTTCGAGATACAGGGTGTCAAAATTAATGAAAAACATTGGTTTATTTCAAGCTGCAAACAAAGATTATTTCTTGAATTAAATAATTAATTAATTAATAATTAATTAATTAATAATTAAATTATTATCATGATTTAAAAAATAATTCAATGTAATGACAAAGTAGCAGTTAGCAATCCTATACATACAGCTGTTATTAATTAGAAATTAAAACTAGAAAACAAAAATGAATTAAATAATTACATACATTTTCTTGTAATTCGAAAAATACTAGTTTTGAAAACCAAGCGTTTCCGGGAACATATTTAGATGAAATTTTTTCGTCCAACAAAATTTGGGCAAGTATTTTAGTTATATTATATTCTGTATAACGTTTCCATTATAAACATGTATACCAAGTTTTAGTACTGTTGTTAGTTACTGCACTAGTCACAAAAATTAAGAGATACCTATTAAAAAAATAACAAATTTTTGGGTGATTTTCAAAGAGCTGTAAGTTGGAGGGACATGGTCGTAGAGAGAATAAAAAAGGAAATTGAAGCTTCAAGTTTCTAGTCTGAAATTTTTTAGCGTCAGCTGGTTTTGAGTAATCCTAAGAAAACCAATGAAAAAACAAGTTTTTGTCTTTAAAAAGATCTATGGAATATTTTTTTTTTGTAATTTCACCGTAAAGCTGTTTTAGATAATTTAATTCCCCTCAATTTGAGTGGTTCGGGAGCCCTGTACGATGATTTGTCGCCGAGTTAGCGTGATTAAAATAAAACATTTTTGACTTTGGCAATCAATTACTCAGAAAATAATGGTCGCAGGTACAGAAAATCCAAGTAGGGCTTTGAAAACTGGAAAGTATTCTCTACAAGTCGTAATCAGGGACGTATTTTCCTAAGGGCGTAGGGGGCGATTGTCCGAGTGGCCTGTTTCAGAGAGGCAGCAAGTTTCAAAACCTGATTCTATAAAAAAAAACTTACCGATATAAAAGACGCTGGCCCTCTGGGTTTCTTTGCTGACAACCTCTACTGTCTTTAACGGATGCCCCTCTATCCAATCATAAGAGTAATAAATAAATAGAAAAAAAGTTTTTATTTGTCACCTCGGATTTTTTTTTTATATTTCTAACAAGTACTGGGGCGGCCGACCATATTCGCCCAGGGAGCATAATTTAGAAATACGTCCCTCGTTGTTATTATTATTATTGGTTTTTGAAAAAAAAAAATTGTTTTCATATTTTTTACAATGATTAACGTTTTTTATGAAGAAAATATGGATTATTGACAAAAAAAAATCATTTTCAACTTTAAATATGAATAAAAGTGAAATATTTTTAAATTAAAAAATTAAAGAAATTACATTTAAACATTCCAGGCACTAGGTAAAAAAAATCGCAGCGCTTTGAAACTATCAGGGTTTCTTTAGGACACTTTGAGGTTGAAAAGTGATAGTCTATTTTCTGTAACGTTTCAACAATATTTACAAAGTGATGCCAAGTTATTCAAATACTACTAATTAATTATGCAATATTTTACCTTTTTTCCAACAAACATTTTCATTCGAATTTTTTTATCAAAATCCAATGATTACAACTTGTAGAGAATGCTTTTCAGTTTCCAAAATCCTTGCTGGATTTTCTGGACGATCAATATTTCTCGAGTAATTGATTACCAAAGTCAAAAATGACATTTTTGCTTTGATCGACAATAACTCAGCAACAAATCATCGTACAGGGCTCCGGAACCATTCAAATTGAAGGGAATCAAATTATCTAAAAGACCTTTACGGTGAAATTACCAAAAAAATTTATTGAAATCCATAGATCTTTTTAAAGACAAAATGTAGAATTTTTTCATTTCAAAACCGCAGACGCTAAAGAATTTTAAACCCCAGATCCAAAAAATAGAAACTCGTTCAATTTCCTTTTTCTTTATTCTCTCTACGACCATTTCCCTTCAAGTTACAGCTGTTTGAAATTCACCCAAAAATTTGGGATTTTTTTTAATAAGTATCCCTTAATTTTTGTGGCTAGTTTAGTTACAATATCATAAAAAAAGTTAGTGATAAAAACAATAATTATAAGCGTTATTCGCCTTTTCTGAAAGCAGGGGGTAAAGTACTGATATATTATTTCGTATTTTTTTTTTGTTTTGTGCAATCGAAAGTGTAATGTAATTTTTTTTTAAATCATTAACGTAATTATTATTTAAAAATCACTATTGCAATTGTATGTATTACTAGAATACCATCATCTGCAATATTAAAATATGTAAACGAATTAAAATGTGTATAAGTTTGATCAGTCGTAGAATAACGGACAAAAACACACAATTTATATATTTTTTAACTTTATTTATAGGTAGCTATGTATTACCATGTACACATAAATGATAGCTTCCGTCGTAATTCAAATAATCTCGAGTTGCTGGATTTTCCAGATATTTTATCATTATCGTGGCTTGTTACGTGATTTAAGCGGTAATTATAGGCATTATTACCGAACTTCAGATTATGAGTGAAAATTTGAGTGCTCGCTAGGCAGCCAACGTCACTGCTTTGCGTATGCGGGCCACGTGCTCCCCGGATTTTGATTTATTTATCGAAAAAGGCGACATAAACAGAGATAATCGCCAACTACAAAAGGCTTCACGGTTTCCGATAATTGGCCCCAATAAAATTACACAATAACAAAGTACGCCGCGCCAAGGTGAGAGACATTAAAATAATGGAAACGTATCAATCGATATTACCTTCGTGCCAAATTCGTCCTAGGTGGTTGCAGGTTGTACAAAAGGATCATAAGGCCGATGCGGCTGAGTTTCGTACGTGTAAAAACAGCGATTGGCGACGACACTCCGTACGCACACTATTAATATCTGTGCCGTCCGCCACGGTCAGGGCGGTCGTCGCGACGCCTGCTGAAAACACTGAAAACTTTTCGTTCTCTGCATCGGCGGCGGCACGTCAGGCGAATCCATCCTATTTATATAAGGTGCGCGGAATTATTCTTTACACATGCGAATCGGACAAGGTATAGGTCAGTGGCAAAGAAATCTGTCCATCTTGGTTGTGATTGGGCTCGGAGGTGGCGCCCTTCCGTAGGGGTTTGGGAACTGATTCGGGCAACGGGGATGGCGTACAAAAACAGTCGTTAATACAAACCTTGACTGATAAATTACGTTTTTTTATTATCTTTTTAATTATCAATGATTCTGAAATCTCACAATGAGAATGAAAAGAAAAAACCACACGCACAGTTAATGAAAATCAGCAAATTGGCAGAAAATTAAATATGTTATAATTTAAGATGTCCTGATCAATAGATATTTATTATACAAGAGAAAAAAGTACTAGATTTTAGCTCGAGGTTGTGTTGTCTCCCGACGCGAAGCGGAGGGAGACAAAAAACCGAGAGGTAAAATCTACTTTTTTCCTGTGTATAATACAGTATTTTTTTCTGTGACGGGAAAAACAACGATTTAATATTGAAAAAACATTACCTATTACAATATATTAGTCACAAAAGTTTTAAATTGTTAGGCTGTTACACTTATAGCGACAATTACATCTGCGTTGCTAAAAAAACCTTTAAAGTAATCAAATATCTGTCAATTTAATTCTGTGATTTGATTTAAAAATTGCAAACTTAGTGGTTGTTTAGTAGTTATTTTGAATAATATAGTTAAAAAATGTCTGATTCCGAGTTTTCTCTGACTCCACCGGAGTTAGTAGAAGCAGCGAAAGTAGCGTCACAAAAATTATTGCCAGCTAAATCGTGGAAAATTTACGAAACCGCGTATTCAAGATTTATGGAATGGAAGATGAAAAAGATATGCAATTCTTTTTCGGAGACGGTGTTATTGGCATTTTTTGTGGAACTGGCACAACAACAAAAGCCATCAACAGTGTGGTCGAATTATTCAATGATTAAAAGTATGTTAAAATCTAATAATAATATAGACATTTCAAAATATTTCAAACTAATTACATTTCTGACACAAAATGGAAAAGGTTATACGCCCAAGAAATCTGCGATTTTTACGATTATATAAATTAATGATTTTTTAAATAATGCTCCTGATGGAAGTTTATTTAATGGCCAAGGTTGTTGTTGTATTTGGGATTGCAGGAGCTTGTCGAATTTGTGAAATCAGCCAGGTAAGATTAGATGATATTAAAGATTCGGGAACGCTATTAATTGTGAAACTTAAGCAAACAAAGGATGATGTAAACAGGAGATTTGTAGTTACTGAAGAATATGTTAAATTTTACCGAATGTACATAGCCCTTCGTCCAGCAGCAGCAAAAGATCGTCGCCTGTTTTATGCATATCGCAATGGGAAATGTATCAATCAGGTTGTGGGTAAAAATCAGTTTTATAAGGTACCTGAAACAGTAACTAATTTTCTTCAACTTGACAATGCTAACTCATATACAGGTCATTCATTCCGGAGATCGTCTGCTACATTTTTAGTTGAATCTGGGGGAGACTTGACGACACTAAAGAAACATGGCGGTTGGAAGTCATCAACGGTCGCTGAAGGATATATTGATGAATTGGTAGCACATAGGACAGAAATAGCTAATAAAGGGTTTAGAACGTGTAGCAGTGTTGAAATAACATCCGATTTGTGACCAGGTACATCAATGGCTGTTGTGTCCATGACAGAAAAAAATACACAAGAAAGTTCTACTGTTATACCGAATAGTTTAAGAAACATGTCATTTATGCAATGTACATTTAATAATTGTACTTTTGATGTAAAGGAAATGTAATTTCTATATAATAAAATATTCTAAAATTAAATATCTACCTTTACTTATGTATATTGTATATATCCGGGAAAAAAGTACTCACTTTTTTCCCGGGGAAAACAGCAATTTCATAAAAAGTGACATTTTGTTACCTGTCAACAGAGATAAAATGTCAAACTTTTTTTCTGAAGTTGTTATTATACGAGATATTGAAAGTGAAGGAGTCCCATAGTCCCGCTTATACCGTTGAGTGAGAAATTTTTCACTCAACGCTTATACATTGTCTTTTTTACAGAAAGCCTTATGGCTCTTCTCACTTTATCTCTTTCCCTCTGAGAGAAACAGGGCGAGTTTGCTGTTCATAAAGTCCTTTATTTGAAGTTTTATGAGCTTTGGAAAACTTTTACTTTTATTTTTATTTGCTTACTTTTTTGTTTTACGCCGTCTTTTTTTTAATTTCATCCGCATTTCTTACTCCCCATAAGTTTGTTCTTAAAGTATGCCTGTATTTTCTTATGTATGTCTGCATTTTCTTTTTCCACATGCTCTTTCACTTTCAGCTCACTTTTTTATTTTGTACCCGTACTTTTATTTTATGTCCGATTTTTTTTACTATTCGTCCGTATTTTTTGCCCTCTTACTATACAACACACCTGCTATTTTTATCCCACTTTTTGTTTCTATTTTATGATTTATGCCCGCTTTTCTTCTGTATGCTTCCATTGTCTTTTTTCGTTACGCTTTTTTACTTTGCACCTGCTGCTTTAGTTTCACTTGCCCATTTGTTTTACTTTTCACTCGCGTTTTTTTGCCCTCTTATTTTTTACATTACTTCTGTCGTTTTTAATCCTGCTTCTTTTTATTATACAAAGTGATTCACAAATGGTGACCGAAACCTCGTATTCTTTGGTGAATTTTAAGGGGACTCTTTTCTATGAAGTGTTTATTTAGGACGCTTCGTTAAGAAGATACAGGGTGTTAAAATTCAAAAAATATTTTTAATTTTTTTAAATAATTTAAAAACTAGTAAGTGAAATAATTTGAAATTGGGCACATGTATTTATGTAAACATTGTCCAAAATCTAAGGGCTTTTCCTAAAATTTACATGCATCAGTGGCGGAGATACAGGGTATCGGTGGCACATTTTTCTAAATAAAATAGTACGCCATTGCTTTACGGTAACAACCATGATATTTTCGGATTCGTTTTCTACAAATTACTACTCTCTTATGTTTTTCAAAAAAAATTAAAGCTAAAGGTAGGAAGAAAACGTGTCAGAAATGAAAATGAGTGGATACATAACAAAGCCAAGACAGAACTTAATAGAGGTCTTCAACATAAAAATCGTAAAGACAAACTTATTTTTGCAAAGGAAATTAAATTGCCTTGTAAAGAAACTTGCAGGTATAAATGCAACAAAAAAATAAATGATGCTAGAAAAGTAATTTTTGACGTATTTTTGAACCTTGTAGAACATACTCGGCAGTGGGATTTTCTTGTAAGGTGCGTGACACAACGAGAAAAGAAGCAGATTACTGTACATAGTAAATATTCCAGAAGGAATTTCTCTCGCAATTATAAGTTTGTCATCGACAATAATGAGAAACAAATTTGCAAAACGATGTTCTTAAATACACTTGCAATTTCTGAAACAGTTGTAAGCACCGCTTTGCAAAAAATTGGTGAAGGTGGTACTGTAGAACGGGACAGAAGAGGAAAACACAACACTAGACCGAATAAAAACCCGGATGCTCTAATAAAAAACATTATGGAACACAAAATTTTTTCTACTTATGCCTTCTCATTATACAGGAAAAAACTCAAAACGAATGTACTTGGAAGAAGGTTTGAGTATTTCACGAATGCACAGAATGTATTTAGAATATGCAAAACAACAGAAATAGGATGCAGTAGCTACACTCAGACAATACAGGGATACTCTTAATTCGAAATTTAATATAGCTTTCTTTAAGCCAAAAAAGGTCAGTGTTCCGTGTGTAGTGCCTATAAGAATACAGATCTCGAGAAGAGAATAGAAAAAATGGAAGATGATTATAATAATCATAATTTAAACAAAATCGCGGTTCGAAATCTGAAAGACATCGATAAAGAATTATCGAAAAATGATAAATCTTTAATAACAGCATGTTTTGATTTGCAGAAGGTGTTAGTAACGCCCAACATACAACTTTTCAATTTATGATTTAGGCAGCAATCAAGACTATTGCTATGTATGGCATGAGCAAATATCGAAGAGAGGACCGGATGAAATTCGAAGTGGTTTATGGATGTTTTTAAAAAGTGTTAAAGAAAATGGCATACGAAAGGTTATATTTTTTATTCCGACAATTGCGGTGGTCAAAACCGTAATCGTTTTTTTTTTGCAATATTTGCTTATGCATCAATGACTTTGGATTTGGAAATAACACCGTTTTCTTGAAATTGACCACACGCAGAATGAAAATGACAGCATGCATGCTGTGATTGAAGTTGCAAAAAAACGCCACCCTGCTATATATACTCCTGATCAGTGGATTAGTCTAATAAAAATGGCCAAAGTTACTGCCCCACAGTATAAAGTAAAAGAAATGTCTCAAGATTTTGTAACTTTGAAACCAATGGTAAAGAAACAAAACTGGAAAAAAGATACTACTGGAGAGGCAGTAAAAATCAGCAAAATCAGAGAAATCCACTGCGATCCAGTCTCCCAATAAAGTATTTTTTGTGTATAATTTTAGAGAAAATCGTAAAGAACTATACTTACAACCAAAAAACACACGCAAACGCGAAGAATATCAATTTCCAAGATTGTATAAAGGTTTGCTGCCAATTTATGGTAAAAAATTAAGCGGTGTTTTGGTATGTGTAAGGCTAATTTGATACCACAGACGTATCATGGATTTTACAACTCTCTTCGGCCTGATAGTAAGAGTGGCCATCAGAAAGAAAGTAATATTGACCAAGAAGATGACTCTGACTCTGAATCGTAATAAATTTTCCTTTTATGTCATTATTGATTATTAACCATTATTTTTTTTATCTAAAAATAGAAAATGTTTAATTTTTCTGTACCTGATTAGTGTAGCAAGTTGTTTCTCAATAAAAATTTTGTCGACGAAAACTGTAGTAACTCATTCAAAATCCATTTTTTTC